CAAGTGGACAAGGAAGAGAATTAAATGAAACTAATCTCGTTACTCTAAATAAATTGTCGGCAACATGAATGCAATTTTCACCGCAGCTGAATCTGGCTGATCATTTTGTTTTAATAACTGAGGAGGTGTTGCTTGAGTGCTAGGTGTTGGGAGTCGAACCATTCCTGGTGAGGTTATTTCTCCGAATTCACCTAGATATACAGGCAATTATACAAACACCATTAAAATATTGATTTATATTTCCAAGCAGTCTAGAGTCTTTTCTGAACTAAAAAAGCAGATGAAACTTAAAATTTGGTATCATTGTTCCTTCACCGATACATACTATATCATAAACTTGTATATTGAAGACAAAATTGCCACTCTTTTATCAATGAAAAAGAAACCGGATCATATACATCGTATCTGCTGTAAGTACGGCAACGTGCAAATTGGAACTGCCCAAAAATAGAAGTTAATCACGCGTAAAGCTTATGCGCCATGTCAGAAGAAGGAAAAATGGCTCAAATAACCAATTAAACCTTTATAAACACTCCTCACCCAATTGCTATAAAGGGATTTGCATTCTTCAATCTCAGTATCATTTCTCTGTTAGCAGTGAACTAAAATTGAACGTATATGTAATTATTTTGTGGAATTACTTTCATAAACTAACCCTCGTGTCATAGCCTTGAGGGAGAGGGAGAAAGTAAATTTACTTGTACCCTCTGGCAACAATGATTCTCTGGCTGTCATGAAAATGAGAGTAGAGATAGGGAGAGGAATAATAATTTCACAAGGAAGTGAAAAGAACACTAATACACATTATATATTCTCTTTACTACAGCTATATGGCATTTTGTATAGTTCTATCTATTTAATCCTTCTCGCCTAATAGCAAAATTATAATGTTTCTGAACTTCAAGAAGGTCAAAGCCACACGTACCATTAGCTGTTTGAAGCTCCTCCCCGTACTTTACCTGACCAGATTCCATTATTTCACCTTCCTACAATTACCAATCACCAACCAAATTTATGAAATAAAATAAAAATAAAATATCCATAAAGCCAAAGATATATAATTTTTGTGCCTCGGCTACAGGGGACATTGCCACTTCATAGTGTGCATAATCCATGATAGTAAGCATGTTTTTCCAACTCTGTCGGGGATACTTTCAAGTCCAAGAATACGAGTGCAGGCACTGACAAAATGCCTTGCATAATCGTATGTGTGGAAGCTGGAAATAAGGCGTAATAATGATTTGTTAGTGATTCGATATGGAATTCTTAATGGCACATAAAACACGGTGAGCAACCATCATATTTCAGCAAAATAAATCATGTACCAATGGTCCAGTATATCATGAACATGAAAATGGAGTAGCAACTGTTAAGACTGCAATATTAATTTGGAGGCATATGAAGAGGAATACAATAGTTGAAGGTGTGACTCTTTGTAGATTGTTGGGCAACTTGCCCCTGTGATAGATCAAGGAACACAATGATTTATGTTGGCAACTCGATACAAGGATTATGCTTAGGACCTTCATTATAATTTGATCATGAGAAATTTAAAATGAAAAATACATCTTATGAGATCACTTAAAACCTGGTGGACGATTTTATTTTTACTTATTAAGACGTGCATTTTTACATCATTATATAAATTAGTTGACATACAAAACCCATCTATAAAAGTAATAACATATAAATTGAAATTATTATGTAATCATAAAAATGCTAAAGAAACAGCCCCTATGCATTGCAAGAAAAAAAAACATTTCTTTCTATGATTATATTTTGCCTCAGGTCGAAAAAATACAAATGGAAGATCAATCTGAAAAATAGGTAAAGAATGAAGAGGTAGCAGGACAGAAAAAGACACAAAGTTGAAGATGGGTCGACCTCAATCTAGGATATTAAACCAATAACTATAATAAATAGCCAAGTTCTTGGTAAAACATCCTAGAACCAAATTGAATCATCTAGTTCAGTTCAACAATTGTTTGGTCTAGCAAAATCAACAATGTCAAGATTGAAAGGTCCATTGACAGCATCAACAGAGATAAGAAAACAATGACTCCCCAGATAAAGCTACAAATTTATATTTAAAATCCTGTTGAACATGGATTAGGACATGGAAGAAGGTTTATTAACCAAGATTGCATTTTAACTCTATAGATGTTTCACAAAACTGGTTAATTCAGTCTGAATACTTCAAATTAAGGTACATGATAGTTGATGTTAAAATCTAATTGAAGTCAGTGGTTAAACCAGAAATCAGCAAATTGGAATCAAAATGCATATCATTAGAAAGGCAATAAATCCACAATGTAGCAGCATATTTCGGATGAAAGTAACACTGAAATAAATTTGATCTTTCAGACAAATCATCAAACAACAGATGAGCATCAAAATCGCTCATTCCACTCTTAATTGTAGAAGAAGCAGAAGCAGTACCAGTAGATGGTGGTTGTCTCAATCTTCGGAGCAGGGAACCGACCCACTTAGTCCGGAGTCAACCCGCCAAAACTCTCCTCATGGCCTCCATCACTCTGCTGACAACACACAACACCAATTAAATTCCTCTTTCTCCCTACCTAATAAACAATCTTGAAAACAAAATTAAAACCTAGATCCATAAACTATAGTCATAAATACAAGCCATTCACATAAGTCAATTGATTACAGGAATCCCTAAATTAAAATTTAGAAAGCACATATACATAGAAATCAAATACAACTGGAAGAAAACAGTACTACACAATTAATTGATACTACAAATAAAAACTCCTTACCACTCAAGTCCACGAATCCTACAGGAAATGAGTAAAGCCAAAGCATCTGTCCCGGATGGAGACACCATCGTGTCTCCGTGCGAGACGGAGACACTCCGTCTCCAGGCTCCGTCTCGCACTGAGACACCGACGATGTCTTCGCATTGGGGAATCGGCATGACGAAGGTGATGGGTTTTTGGAGTGCTAAATAGAGGAATGGGGATTAGGCTCCTGAGAGTCTTCATCTTCTTCTGAACATCAGTAGCCGCTGGAGCGCCGTCAACACCATCAGCTTCCACAGTCTTCCATAGTAAGAAGCAGGGTTTTCGTCGAGTGCCGATGGGAAAGTGTGGGAGAGAGAGAGAGAGAGAGATGTCGAGAGAAGGTTTTATGCCAAAACGGTGTCGTTTCATAGGGACGAAAGTGTGAACAGTAAATTGGAAAGTGGCTCTTTTATTGTATAGGGATATATCATATAACTTTTACTATAGATAAATTCGATAGAACATGAAGGCAGGCTTCAAATTTTGCATGAATTCTTATGTTTGTTATTTTCACTTCATTACTACTCAGTCATGGTTGTTATTGCAAAGCATCTCTACTACATCTACTTGGTCATGCGTGCTTAAGAGTGTCAAACAAACAAGAGGCTAGATGTACCTTCTCTTTCTTAATTTTCTGGAGATCAGCTTTGTAGGATCTTAACCTCTCCGCACATGCTCGTGCATCCTCAATTACTTCTGTATCCCTGTTCTCCTTTGAACTAGAATATTTACCTTCACCAGAAACCGGCATTTCATAATCAAGAGCAAGGTCATATCCAATTTTTGCTCTTTTATGTCCTACGTTCAGGCATCAGGTTCAAATCAACAGGGTCATATCCAAATGAATAATAGTTAGTTAAACCAGAATTGGAGCAAAAGGATAAACCTCATACCCTTGTGTGCAAACAAGACACAGCGAGATACTCTACAGGGGTAAACTTTCTGCATAATTACTCGTCACTTATTCAATATACAAGAAAATAAAGTAAAGAAAATTAAACGTAAAACTATAGCAACGTAAAAATTCAATATTTTATACAAGCATACACCCATAACTGAAAATAGAAGGAATTTATATCCAATTTATACATATACACAATGGAAGAGAAATGAACCTGGTGCAAAGGAAAAAAGTTTTCAGTAAGATTTTCCCAGTGTCCTCATTTTCCTTTAACTCCTCCAAAATGTGGTTCAGATCAAAATTTGGGGCCTTATAATCGAAATCTTCAGCATAAAACGGGGATGGAGATGGTAGCGCAGAAAATGCCCTGAAATTCGAGAATCAATTTCTGGGGCAGTGAAAAATTCGAAGATCTCATAGGCGGGTTTGGGCAAAATTTTGGCTTAATCGATTTAGAGGCAGCCATGACACGGTAAAAGAGGAGATTTCTCCATGTCAAACCCCCCAAGCTTTTCTGATTTTTTGTATCTTTGTTTTTTTCCATAAAAAAAACTCTTACGTTGCACATATGCAGCAATCAGTGTGAAAAATCGTTTGCTTTTAGCCTTTTACTCAGTGCAGTTAGACTTCCAATAGAAGGAAGAGAAATAAGAAAATCATAAGAGTGTTTCCACAGTTGAAGGCGTTGTTTATAAAATCGAGTATCGTATTATTTTTTTCTATCTATGAATAGTTTGAATATACTCCAAAGGTAATTTGTAATCAAAACTGCAATAAAAGTTTGTATAACAACGCTCCTTTACGTGCATTTATATTTACACACACGGTCATATTCGTAAGAAATTGTCCAAAAATGCAAAATGCTGACAATGAAGAATGGAAGAGAGTACTGCTCTTTCTTCTGTATATCTTTGGAAGTGAAGTTGTCCATGGGCGAAAAATGGACTCCTTCCACTTCTTTCGCACTCATGCTCGTGGTGCAGCTAGATTGTCCAGGTCCCTGCTTTCACTCGTCTGAATTTGTATGCATCACCTGCGGAAGATTAGATCTAGCACGAATTCGTCACATCTGGGTGTAGACCTGTACGCACAGAATGAGTTCTCATTCGTTGCTTGTATGGACTCCTTCAAAAGTATGTGGATGTTTATCTTATTTGTATGACAGAACCAATATTAATAACATAAATTTTTTACATGAATACATAAATAAAGAAGTTTTTTATTTGTGTATATTGAATATGTTAGCTCGAGTAACTTTTTAGCACAGCGCTAGAGTATTTTTGGGGTGGCTTGTGATTAAAAATAAGTACCAAATATGTAACTTACTTTTAGTATGGATCCGCCTATATTCACAACAACCAAAATAAGACGCATGTTTGGAGCATATATTTTAGCATAAGCCACCCCAAAATTTTCGTTGAAAAGCTTGTGGAATCCTTTAAATCTACATAGACACCCTAGCTCAATAATGTAACATGGGAAATGTAAACGTTATCACAGTTAGCAAAATATATATGAATTCGTACGAAGAATAGAGAATCTTTATTTTAAATAAAGCAAAAACAGAGCTTCTATCAAACCAGTAGGGAGAATCATGACCAAAAGCTCAAAAGAGTTGGGCTTCAACA